AAGCGGGCTAAGTATTCATCCTGGTGCCACAAAGATGTATCAAGATTTGAAGAAGTTGTTTTGGTGGCCATGTATGAAGAAGGGAATTGCAGAGTTTGTGTATGCTTGTTTGACTTGTCAGAAGTCAAAGATTGAACATCAGAGACCGTCGGGTCTGATGCAACCATTGAATATTCCAGAATGGAAATGGGATAGCATTTCTAAAGATTTTGTGACGGGTTTACCGAAGACTTTGAAGGGATATGATTCGATTTGGGTGATTGTTGATAGATTGACCAAATCAGTTTATTTTATACCGATGAGGACTAATTATTCGTTGCAGAAGCTTGCCAAAGTATATATTGATCATATTGCAAAACTACATGGTATTCCTTCAAGTATTATTTCTGATAGAGATCCGAGATTTACATCGAGGTTCTGGGAAAGTTTGCAGACAGCTTTGGATACTAAGTTGAGGTTGAGTTCTGCCTATCATCCGCAGACGGATGGACAGACAGAGAGAACTGTCGAGTCTTTAGAGGATTTGCTGAGAGCTTGTGTGTTGGATCAAGGTGGGTCATGGGATAGTCATTTGTTGTTGATTGAGTTTACCTACAATAACAATTATCATTCTAGTATCGGAATGACACCTTATGAGGCTTTCTATGGTAGGAGGTGTAGGACTCCTTTGTGTTGATATGAGTCAGGCGAGAGTGTTGTACTCGGACCTGAGATTGTGCAAGAGACGACTGAAAAGATCAAGATGATCCAAGAAAAGATGAAAGCGTCGCAGAGTCGTCAGAAAAGTTACCATGATAAGAGGAGGAAAGCACTTGAATTCCAAGAGGGAGATCACGTGTTTTTGAGAGTTACGCCGGTAACTGGTGTTGGTCGAGCTTTGAAGTCTCGAAAGCTCACATCGTGTTTTGTTGGTCCGTATCAGATTTTGCAGAGGGTGGGGGAAGTAGCATATCGGTTTGCTTTACCGCCGTCGTTTGTGAATTTACATGATGTGTTTCATGTGTCTCAGTTGAGGAAGTACATTCCAGATTCGTCGCATGTAATTCATATGGATGATGTACAAGTGAGAGATGACTTGACTGTTGAGGCACTGCCAGTTCGGATTGATGAACGAGAAGTGAAGCAGCTGCGAGGTAAAGAGATTGCCTTGGTGAAGGTAGTTTGGGGAGGACCAGCTGGAGAAAGTTGGACTTGGGAGCGTGAAGATCAGATGAGGGAGTCGTATCCGACTCTATTTCCTTGAGGTAATTTTCGAAGGCGAAAATTCTTTTAAGTGGGGAGAGTTGTAACACCCCAAATTTTATTGGAATATTTATTTAATTTATTTAAATAAGAATATTCGCATTTTGGTAATTTTCGTTGGTTGTTGTGGAATATTGAGAATTATGGATTTTAAGTTATTTATTTAAATAATAGTATATAATATAAATATATTAGTATTATTATTAATTTAAATAAATATAAGTTAACTAAGGGCAAATTGGACAATTGAGGAGGAGTTAGTGAGGGTAATATTGGAAAGCCCAAATTGTAGGCACAAGGTTAGGTTTAACAAAAAGGAAATTGTGATGGGATTATGATTCATTTTGTTAGACCGTGAAAAGAATTGAGGTCAGAGCTCTGAGGAGGAGGTTTGAGGCAAAAGCTTCGAAAGGTTTTCTGAAAGATTTGAGAAGGCTTAAAGTTGACGATTAAGGTATGGGGAGTATTTCCTTTATTGTTTTCAATGTATAATTTCAATGTATTTAAGGTCGATTTAAGGGTTTAAAGGGTTTGAGGCTGATTTTGAGATAAAGGGAATTAGGCCTTCGTGGCCAAATCCTATTTGTGAGGTTTTAACCGTATAGGGATTTATTTGGGTGAAAGGGAAATTAGGCATTCGTGGCCAGAACTCTGATTTGACATTTGTCTAATCCTATAGAGAAATTTGATAGTGAGAAACTCTAATGATTGTGGTGTAGTGGTAAGGGTTTATGGGATTTAGAGCGTGGATATGATACGGGATTGGCCTAATAAACCGTAGGTTTTGTGCCTTTATCGTCGTAAGACCTTAGGGATGATTTAGGGATGTTTTGGGGGCATTGGGGAAGTGAATCGTGGGACTTTTAGGCTGATTTTAGGTTCTGGTGCGTAACAGCGTTTTGCTGTCATCGCGTTGTTCGCACAGCGAAGAACCCTTTGCACAGCGAACGATTTCGTCCCAGACTCGCACTGCGAAGAATCCTTCGCACAACGAAGAAACTCGCCCCAGACTCGCACAACAAACTTGCTAGCGAATGTAGCAGAGTTTCGCAAATGCTAATGTTGTGCAGCGATGCCTTGATGTTTGATGTTGTGATTTCTTTGACGAATTAAGATGAGTATGACTGTGAATTCTATGTGATTTGTACATGATTATACGATGATTTTATGATGTAATGATTGATGAACTATGATAATATTTCCATGAGTTTTGATGATTCTATGATGACATGATTTTTGATGATGATGATGATGATGAATGATGATGCACCTATGATGTTATTATGAGGATGAGTATTGATATTTGCATCATGCATTCATGTGCATCCGGACTTCGGTTCAGGACCTTGATTACTTTGGCTTCAATCCCACTGTGCGGATGTGAGGTATTTTGATGTGCTCCGGTTCTCGAGTAGAATCGATCCTATTGATGGGGATCTATGGAGGGTTGATGGCCCAGTGTCCATCGAGCTGTGATGATTGGTACCACATGCATTGAGCCTTGTTGCATTTGCATTTATGAGATGATCTTGAGTAATTTACGATGTTGTGACCTTTAATGCCTATTGATGAATATGATGATGTTGAATATGAAAATGACGCCATTTTATATGTTGATTTCCTACATTGATTATTATGAATCGTTTTACTCACCCTGCCTATTTGAATGTTGCCTCCTCGTGGGTAACGTGCAGATGGCCAAGCTTAGCCGTGGATGTCGTTGAGGACTTTTGAAGTTTTTAGTTGTTGGCCTTTTGATTAACTTAGAGGGTCTTACTCTGATAGTGTAACATCGGGTTGGGGTCTTGAATTAAACCATGTTTTATTGTGTTATTTTGATTATCTTTCCGTATAAGGAAAACTTTGGGATTATGTCTTTTTAGTTCTGCTGCCTTTGTGAAATTTTTGATAACTTTTGGGAAAATCCGTTTTAACGTATGCTTGTTGGACAATACATTCATGCCTCAATCGATCGATTCTGTCAGCCATTATGCATGCAAGCTATAATATAATTAATTGTAGAATGAGTTTACGCATCAAGAAAAATTATAAAACAAAAAGAAAAAAAAAACAAACTGAAAAATTCCGGTTTACGTAGTTATATCTCTGGGATGTATCTCCGAAATAGTCTGCAACACAGAGGTCACGTGGCGTCCGGAGATATATAGGTTCTGATATTATGTTAGAGGAGTTTTTACACTAGGCAGTGAGCATGGGGCTAAGAGCAATACAAGTGAGAGAGACACCACATATTCACTCAAAACTTTAAGGTGATAGGTGTATGAGTTCTCTCACTTATAAATGTTCAAGTCGCTATATTTCTATCCAATGTGGGACTGTTATCTATACTACTCATATTTGTTATATTATTCCAACAAAATTATGGTGTGTCCAGAGATATATCTTCGAAAACTAGGGGTATTATAAGAAATTTGCATGATGTCTAAAAAACACATGAGGTGCCTTAAAAAATTCTCTTTATTTTTCATTGGTTCAGGTATCGGATTCTCTCTAAACCGAACCAAACCGGCCCACAATCATCTCTAATTAGAGTTGCAAAAGAACCACACGAAATTAATCTCAAGTTCAAGATGAACAATCTCAAGAATCACACGAAATTCTCTTTATTTTTCATTGGTTCGGATATCGAATTTTTATCTACTCAAAATGTACACAATTTATTTCTCAAATTTAAAATTGTTTCTAATTAGTAATTCTAATGAAATTGCAAGAACTTGATAGTGCTTTAAATAAAAGACAAAAAAAAACACCATGATTCGAAATATGGCTCACTAGAGTCAATCTTTTAGGAAATTAAAAACAAGATCTTTTACATAATGATTAGAATCACCCAAATATCTAAACACTCAAATTTGAAGGCATGTTTAGAAACAATTTAAATAATCTTGCCTTGGTGAGGTTATTAGATTAAATAACTAAAGATGAGAAGCTTAATCTTAAATCATTAATCATCAATTTTACAAACAGATTAAGATGATTAGGGTGGAAAAATAAACATCCTCAGTTACAGTTCTTCTTAAGCCTTCTTACTGATACTTCTCCAAGCTACAGGTCTTCTTAAGCCACCTGAAATGAAACTCTACCTACCATCTTTTCTTCAACATAGGATGCCTAAACTTTTTCATTCTAATGATTGAATTTGTGATCCTGTATTATCTTGTCTAGCTACTCAATTATTGAAAGTTGTAACACTGATATTTTCATAGATTTATATAGTGGAACAAAAACTCATGAATGGTCGGCAAACTATAAGAAAATATCAAGTGATGAGGTAAGTGGTAAATTATACTGAGAAAATATGGGATATGAAGAAATGAATATAAAGATAACTTAAGAATTATTTGTATATTTCCAGTCTGTTTTCTTTCTTTTTATTCTGTCCACATTCTCAATCACAGGTCTCATTTATGTTTACTTTGCATACAAAGAATGTCAAAGATGATAAACCAAATGCTACACGTGGCCTATATGAGACTCTGACATCAATTTATACGGCATGAATTTTGGAGTTCCCGTGTTTCAGAGATCTCTGGTTACCTCGACAATGCATCGTTCGAGCATAAATATTGGACTGTGCAGCCCAGTAGTAAAACTGTTAGTTGATGTACAGGATATATAGGTCACAACAGAAGTGCAAAAAATAGAGGTTAAATATGGTTCCACCATTCTGGTTATCATGATCATATCCTGCTTCCCTTGTAACCCCCTCGTATGAAACACAACACCTGTAAGGATTTTTAGAACTTCTTGCCATTCTTGAGATTGCGTACAGCCATAACAAGTTGTTGTCTTTCTCCCTCTACCTCTGCGAATTTCAGACTGATTTCTGAATATCTTTCTTCCATTTCTTTCAGTTCAGTTTCCATAGTCGTGTTCTTTCCCTTCAGAATTTCGACTTCTTTCAATAATTCCTTTGAAAGGCGTTCAGCATCACTGTCAGTGTTAGGAGGCAAAAGTTAATTCAAGTTAGTTGTTGGTTGAGATGTGTGACATAACTATAAATCTGACATTGTGGCACAAAACGTTGTGTAATGAATGGATTGAGGGTTCATGATTGTATGCAAGGTAACTAGGAATCCAGATGGAAAGAAATGAATCTGATTTTACCTTTCTTCGGACTTGCTAATAGAAGTGTTTGCAGCATCATTTCCCTATTCATGTTACAAATATAAATAGTATAAGTTATTCTGGGACATCGATATCAAATAATTTGTGCAAAGCAACACTAAAGTTAAAGATTGATCAAATATTTTCTTTTGGCACTTTCTATGTTTGAGACCTGTTTATTGACCTTGTCATATATTATTATCACCCTCACTCAGTAAAGTTGAATTTATTAAGAAGAATCACACTATGAGATGTACTACAGAGATGTGTAGTTCAAATATTCTCTCTTAAGTATAGAGTACGTTAATATATGCAGTAGAAAAGTGTATATATCATCTATAAAGCACAAACTTTGACACAAACACGTCGACACCGCTCATGTAAAAGATATGAGACACTTATATATGATAGTATTTGATCTTTGCCTATCCATCTACTATTGAAAAAGTTTAAAATCTTCTAATTGAATTTTATGTCTTTAACCTTTTATTGACCAATATTGCTTCAACATATCTTTAACCCTTTTAGATTTATTTGAAATTTGTGCAAGACATTTATAAGGTGTGTAGAAGCAAAGAAAATACTTTTTTAGGATACGTGTTTGAAGTGTCTGACGTGTCATACGAGTGTCATGCCAGATACCGAATCCAAGAGTGTCGAAGCAAAGAAAAAACTACTTTTTGGGGACACTTGTTTGAGTTTTTCCGCACGTGTCGTACTGGTGTCATGCAAGTGTCAGACACCGCTACACGCCTAATCCTAGAAGTGTCCGTGTTTCATATTATATCATTTTGGAAACTGAACTCCTTGGATTCTAATGTTATTGTTAATAACAATTTCCTTTTCTTTCTATTCATGATTTAGGGACACTGCATAATAAACTCATCAAAAAGATGTTACTATTTAGCCTGCCATTACAGGCGATAGGCGACGGCAATAAGTGTGTTCTTTTATATTATCTGATAAGAAGTATGGCTCCTGAGAAATTACCTTATGCATTTCTGATTTTGACTTCTTAACATTACCCTTAGCAACCTCATTGTCTCTTGAGGTCAGATTCATATGTACAGCCCCACCTCGTCCTTTGTTATTCTTGAGCTTCTTTTCCATAGCACTTAGTTCTGCTTCTTTCTTCTTAAGCTCTCCTTCTAATTGAGATATATGTTTCTTCATATTTTCTTTGTCCAAATGTTCTCTCTGCAAACTGTTTTTTAATTCATTGTGTTGGATCTCAAGCATTTCAATTTTCTTTGAAAATGTAGCATCCTTCTCATCCCTGAGTCTTTGTGCATCCTCAAGTTCTTTGTTCTTCACTTCTAGCTCTTGTGACATCTGTTCTATGGTTTTTTCTTTAGAATTTACTTGTTTCAAGAGCTCTTCCACTTTCGATTCATGTTGATCTGTAATAAGCCTGAGCTCTTGATTGCATTTCTGGAGCGTTTCTTCCATAAGCTTGTTGTGGTTCCGTAATTCATCAGCTTCTGCAACTTCTTTCGCAATCATCTTTTCGTTCTCTTCAACTTTGCATGCCATTTCAACAGAAAGCGATTTATATTCCTCCTGGAGACGTTCAGATGCAATAGCATTATTGTGTCTAGTCTTTCTCAGTGATTCTTCTGCTTGAATGGCCCGTTCTTCCTGCTCGATTTTCGCACATTGCATGGCATCGAGATCTTCTTTGTATTTATCTTCCTGAATTCTCAGTTCTTTCTCTAAAGACTTAACTTCATTTTCAAGTTCCTTGATGGAGACCAAAGATGATGAAAATTCATCTTCCTGATTCTCTATCTTTTCTTCAAGTCTCTTTACTTGGGATTCAAGTTGTTGTATTGTAACTAAAGAAGCGGAATGCTCATTTCGTAACATGATGTGTTGTTCTTCCTCTTTCTTTAATCTCAAAGATATATCCTCATTTTCATTCTCAAGAATATCATACTCCAATGTAAGCTCTTTTAAAAGCGTGCTTAGCTCCTCGCGTTGCTTACCACAACTCTCTATTTCACTATTCTGTTCTGCAATTTTCTGTCGCAAAACATCTAATTCTGTGTCAATATCACGCTCTTTAGCAATCTTTTGAGATTTCATTTTGGAAGATAGATCCAATATTTCCTTGTTCTTTTGTTCTAGCATTTCTTCAAGGTCTGTCACAGCCAAAAGAAGTTCAGAATTTGAGTTCTGTGTTTTCAGCAGTTGCAACTGAAGATTTCCACTCGTTTCTTTTTCATAAACAAGCTCTTCCTTTAATGCCTCTAACTGAATCCTAGTATTTTCAACATCAGACTTCAAGGTTTTAGAGGTTTTGGTCTCGTTATTAGTATTATTGAAGTTCTGTTGGGACCTGAGTTGCTCATATTTAGTTTTGAGTGAATCTCTCTCGTCTCTGAGACCATTGATTTGCCTCGATAAATTCTGTCCCCGACTGCTTTCTTTTTCTACCTGCTTCCGAAGTGCTTGTAACTCCAGTTCCGATAATTCTGCCTGCCTCTTCAAAGAAACAATTTCACTTTTGAGATTTTCAGTGGCATTGCCTGAAGGCTCTTGTAATCTTTCTCTTGGAATATTCTCTTCCGCGCTGTTTGTCCAGTCACCTAAACTTCCATCTGACGCTGAACCAATCGACCATCCTGTATTCGACCTCTTATGCACTTGATTTTGTGTTGCATTGGCCTCTATCGATCCTCTTGGTGGCATCGAGTTCTGTCTGAAGCTATGAGGGTCATCCCACGAAGCTACCTTAGGACTGACGCCATTCGATGCATTCTGTTCAGAATACTCAGATCTACTCTTGGCCAAGTTCTCATTCTACAAGATAACAATAAAAATAAAAAAAGTAATTTAAGTATGATTTTATAAACGTACTTTTTTTCCCATAACCTATCCCAGTAACAAGTATAAAAAAGTTGCAACTGTTTTAACTATAAAGTGCTTATGTCAGTAAATAAATTCAAATGAGTCAATCCAAACAGACCATAAATATAATTGCTAGGATATATTAGACCTTACTTCATCAAGGTTGTAACTTTCATCTGTGCTGCCATAGCTCAGTTGATGTCTCAAGCTTCCATCATTATGAAGTCCCGCAGCTCCATTATCTTCCCCATTTCTGCAAATAAGTATAATTTTTTAGTTCATAAAGAAGATGAGTCAAAATGGAAAATTTGCAATGGTTAAATTAACAGTATGTTATGGTTCATTTTCACCTTTCAGCGGCATATCCTTCAACATTCTGAATAGTTACCTGTTTCAACAACTCTGATGTGAGAAGTTATGAATTTAATAAGACAATACTTTTGATATAGTGCCGGTGTAAAACTTTGTATATTATCAATCAATCAAAAATCACTTTTTGTGAGCTGTCTAAGTTTTTGGAGGCCATGTGTAGGTTAGTCATGTTTTATCCATGATAAAACAAATAGAGGTTCTATAACTATGGTTTAACCGAGACCCGATTTTTTAAAGCCCTACACGGTAGTTCGCCTAGTCCGCCCTCAATGACGGCCCTATTTGTATGATGACTTTAAAGATAAATTATGAATGATCTACTGTGTAAAAGAGATAGAGGGTACTAACATGTAAAACTACGCCTGAATTGGCAAACTTCAATGGCAGAGAAACAGTAACTGGCTCAGTTTCTGCTAAAAAATCAGCAAAATCAACCGAAGCTTCTCCCAAATAGCCGGATTTCGATGAACCCTAGAAAGATCCACACAAAACATTTAGACTTTACAATCAACAATCCTTTAAAACAAATTGCAGGTACAAACAAGTTCTTACAGTTGAAACAATGAAATGGTAGATTTTCTCATGGAGAATTCCTGATTTTGAATCCCTAACAAGTTTAACCGGTTCAAAAATTGGATTCTCCCATGAACAAGTCCCATCTTGTACAGCAGTTTTCTCTAATTTCACTGTTGTTTTCCCAACATCATCTGGCACCAAAGATACCATCAGTGCAGACTTTTTCATCTTCGGAACCTAATCAAAATCAGATTCATTAAAAAAAAAACACAAGATCAGACATTATCAAAAAAAAAAAAAAACATTTGTAAATTTCAAACATCCTAGGAAACATGTTTTTTTTTAGAAAACTATGTTTTATTTATTTATTTACCTGAGTTGCTTGAAAATCCAATTTGAACACAGCTTTGATCTTGTTTTTCTTGCTCCATGATTTGAACATTTTATCTGACAGATAAATATGGTGGTTACTGGTTGCAGTTTTGTGGATGCAAAAGAATGCTTATAAGCTAAACATTATTGTTGAACAAAGATGGAAAATGCAATGTTATGATTTGTGAAAATCTGAAATTAATTTTTGTGATAAAGTGTGTTAATGAGTTGAATTGAAGAATGAGGTGTTACGATTTTTGTGAATGCAAAGAGTCTTGTTAAGTCAATCCTGATTTGTTGGTTGATTGAGATGCTGAACTTGTATGATTAGCAAAGTAATAAAAAAATGAAATTAAAATTTGATACTATATATTATGAGAACTTAGAACAAGAAGCTTTATTTTCTGCTTTTTAGCAAGGACAGTGAAAATGGATTCTTTGTCATATTTAAGAATTGGATATATTGGTGACCGTTGGATTTAGATCTGATAGTTTGTAAGATAGGTAAAATTTGATTTTATTTAAAAATTTAATTTTAAATTTTATTCATTCTATAGATTTTGGTATGTAATTTTATTCATTCTATTTTGATCCAATAGTTATCCAAAGTGTCGACTAGACATATCACATAGGACAATATTAATACAATAAAGTAATTTTTTTAACCTAATAAAACTTAAATAAAAATGGAAGGCAAATGGGTAATAAATTAGTATTCTATTGTTTTAAAAAGAATTTTATAATGTTGTATATTTTTGTTTTAAAAAAAATTACAATGCACTTTTTAAGAAAGTTTTAAAGAAAATTTATTAAAATAGTTTTATCAAAAATTATTTTAAATATTTCAATTTTTTATTATAATTATTTTATATTAAATTTCAAAAATTACCTAAATTTAAAGATATTTTAAATAGTTAATAATAAAATTATTTTTAAAATATATTTTTTACAAATATTATGTGATTTTTAATAGTTTTTGGTGATTTAAAATTCCAAGTAGAAATTGTTACCTTACTTATTTAATGAAACCAAGATCTATCTTGAAATGAGGGTTTGAGAGTTGAGAGTAGGTTGATATAAGAATAAAAACCCAAGTTTGGAATAGATGTTAAAATCAGTAGCTATATTGTAAGTTTTTCAAGTTCTACTAGCATTTAACATTTGTAGGAGAATGACATTTCATTTGACCAAATTTACCAATGAAATTGAATGGGGTAAGTAAAAAGGTAGAGAAGAAGAGCAATGTCCATGTGCTTCTGGGTTATTTTTGATAAGCAACAACTCACCAAAACATAAATGCTACACCTTTCTGCTGCCAAGGACATGACAATGAAAGAAAGTTTAATAAAATATGAGTTGTAAATGTATGGTGGCTTGGTCCCCCCACTGATATATTCACCATTTTTTCAACATACTAGTATAATACTAATACTATATATCTTTAATGGCAATAAGCAAATTAAAATTATAAAAAAGTAGTGAAATTAAAATACAACAATCAACAAACTTCATATAAGATGAAATGAAAAGTAGGCATTTGTGTTTGCACATTCAGCACATGCCACTGTCGGCGCCCAAACAGATCCTTCTCATATAGAAATATAAGAATTTATATGAAACCAACAGATATATATATATATCAATCAAGTCAACACTCATCATCAACTATAAAATGGTCAAAATGGAACCCTTAAAAAGAATTATTTTTACACATGATTATGGATATAAGGTTTTCTTTAATACTTTGGTAAGGGAATATATAGAGACTAAAAAAATAAAAATTTAGGGACTAAAATGAAAAACTAATTAACTCGTAAATTAAAGGCGAAAAGACTATTTAAATTTGAAGAGAATAAAGGAAGTGTAACAAATATAAGAATGTTATGTTGAATGTGTGTAAGACTATACATGATAAGATTAATAATGACAATATTAAAGAGAGTGTTGGGATATCACATATAGTAAAAAAAAAATGATGGAAAATAGACTTAGGTGGTATTGCTATATAGAGAGAAGACTTGTAGATTATGTGATATGAATAGTAGATCAAATGAAGCGGAGTCGAACATTTAGAGGTAAAAGAGGACTTAGAAAAACAATAAGAGAAATCATTAAGAAAGATATTGAGATTAATGATTTGGGTAGAAGCATGGTCATAAATATAACATTATAGCAGAAGTTGATTCATGTAGTCAACCCCACTTAGCGGTATAAAGCATGGTTGTTGTTGTTGTTGCTAATGACAGACGTTATTATTAAGAATGGAAGAGACGTCTAATCATTTAATTATAGTTGACCATACATCTCTAAATAAATGCATTCAAATAGTTGAGTTAAGTTGTCTTTTTCGAAATCCTATTATTGAAAATTCTCCAAGAAAATATAGACATTTCTAAAGAAACAAAATTATTTCATACAATCTACTTAGGCAATGAATGATTTGATTGAGTCACGATTGATAATAATTGACATGCTTCTTTGACAAAATATTATTTTATAGGATCAAGGCTTCACATCCATTTATGTGAAACATTAACCTACAAAGCATAGTTAACCAGCAAAGCACTACACTCAATAACCTATCTTTCTCATATATAAAAATGTGTTGACGCCACATGCATTCACCATCGTCAAGATCACACCCCAACTTATTCATCTATCACTAAAATATTATTCTCTACTATAACTTCACATGTCTAACATATTGCAAAATGGATCTCTGACATCCACCTATTTTTTTAAAACATCACATTTTTCCTATACTCTGTCATTATCTTCAAACTAACAGTTACGATCCAAAACAACCATTTCTCTAACACTAAGAAAATTCTTCCACCACCCTGTTGCTTTCCTCCCCCCACTTGAAATTATATCATCATACATCTTTAATTTTTCACCTGAAACTTTAAATGATAACCCCTTTTTATCCTTAAGCATCATCCACCATCATTTCTCTAACAAAAATCAATTAAATTATTTTACACTTCAAATTCCTAGACCTCCATCTGTCAGGTCGAGATAAACCTTCTCTCATTTAGTTCAATAAATTTTCCTAGACACTGCATTTCCACCCCAGAGAAAATATTTTAATAAAGATCTAACAAAAGAGGTAACACAAGACAACCTCTCATAATAGTTTTTTTTTTATCTTTCCACCTAGTAAGCTTCAAATTGATTCAACTATACACAAAGTGTCAAAAAGAAAAACGCAAAGGATTAACTCATATTGGAAGGCCTAAATACATATAATGAATCTTACCAAATTTACAATTAAAAGCATAAGTTGTATCTTCCAACCATAATTGGTTCACATTAACATCAGTCAATAAATATTTACGGAAATTGATTTTCAATCTCAAATAAGTTTTAAAAGAATTAAATTCGCGTTCATAGTAATGATATTTTCCTAATATCTCTCACTAATTAGTAAAGTATCTTCTCCAAATTGCAAATGTGTCAAAAAGAAAAACGCAAAGGATTAACTCTTATAGGAAGGCCTAAATATATATAATGAATCTTACCAAATTTACAATTAAAAGCATAAGTTGTATCTTCCAACCATAATTGATTCACATTAACATCAGTCAATAAATATTTATGAAAATTGATTTTCAATCTCGAAATAAGTTTTAAAAGAATCAAATTCGCGTTCATAGTAATGATATTTCCCTAATATCTCTCACTAATTAGTAAAGTATCTTCTCCAAATTGCAAATGTGAAACTTTAACCTAAACCTAATCTCCCAACTCCTTGCCAATGCAACACCCCTTGTACAAACCAGTTTCAATTTATGCCTTTAATAAAACATTTAGTCTTTTTTCTACAATTAGGAACAAAAGAGAGTATATCCACCCCCATATTATCTAAGACCAACATGTTAGATATAATTCATTTCAGCTTAATATAGCATAATTTTATATTTTAGCTTAGCATATGTGGCATTTCAGTTTCTGTATTTAAACAACTTTCTAATTGGTTTCACAAGTAATGCAGTAATAGAATTTCATTCCACCAGAGAAGTTTGTTACGCTTTTTCTCTTATCTATCTCTATATTTTCATCTTATTTCTTCTTGTGCACCAAAAATTGGTATCTAAAACTCTGGTTCAGATCCACGGTAAATACCAAGGGAAATAGGGGTGAATGTGAGGCGTGTATGATTGATTTCTAATATGAAATTCACAGTGATTTGAAGTTCAAAGTCGTAACAGAATCACATTTTTTGATTTTAAGGGATTGAAAAACATGAGTGTTTGGTGAGTTCTAAGTGAATTTTTGCACAAGATCGAAGATGAACGGTGGAAACGGTAGCTTGAACATGAAACTTCCATCCTTTGATGGAAATAACTGAAATTGATGGATGATTCAAATACGTGTGTTGTTTGGCGCTCAAGATGTTATTGATATCATTAATGACGGTTGTGTAGCTATTGTAGTGGATGCAACTAAAGCACAAAGAAACACACATAGAGAAACAACGGAGAAGGACTAAAAGTCGTTGTTCTACATTCATCTGTATGTGTGTGTGTGTGTGTGTGTGTGTGTGTGTGTGAATGTGTTTGAGAAGATTATTGATTCAACAACAGTGAAGGTTGTGTGGGACACAATGGTACAATCCTACGACTGTGATACATCAGTAAAGAAGGTGAAGATTAAGTCTCTATGTAAGCAGTATGAGAATCTCAACATGAAGAACATGAGAAGGTACCTGATTACATCTCCAGAGTGACTCTAATCACAAATGATATGAAATAATATAGAGAGACTCTCTTTGAACAAGTAATCATTGAAAAGGCATTGAAATCACTTACTCCTCGGCTTGATTATATTTTTTGTAGAAAACATTTTAAGGACCTTAGAAACATGAGAACTGAAGAGCTGCAAAGTAGTCTAGTGGCACAAGAGTTGCGTCTGACTGAGAGAACCTCCTAATAATAGGTAGAGCAGGCTTTGAAGGTGTCTTCTGGTAACAAGAATCCTAAGTAGTCTTGGTCAGAGGCCAAAAAAATACATGGTGGTGGTTATCAGAAGTCAGAAGTCTCCAACTCTAATGAGAAAAAATATCAGAAA